GGCATCCTCCTCATCAAGTACTAAGAACCTTCCAAAAGTAATGATCCCCCTCAGCAGCATTCCCACCTACAATGCATCCATGGACAATAGCAGTTTCTTAAAGACATCCTTTAGCAAGTTCCCTTATCCAACCAAGGCTGAGCTTTGCTACCTTACTGTAGTCACCAAGTACCCCGAGGAGCAGATCAAGATCTGGTTCACAGCGCAGAGGCTGAAACAAGGAATCAGCTGGTCTCCAGAGGAAATAGAAGATGCCCGCAGAAAAATGTTCAATACGATCATACAGGCAGCACCCTCAAATAGCCAACAGCAACGTCAGACCCACCACACCACTACTCGGCCAACTATCACAGTTCTGGGCACAACTGGCATCCCTCACATCTTACAAGGTAGCCTGGTTGGCCAAGGAGGGGTGATTGTCACGCAGCCAATGATGGCTAATGGAATTCAGGTCAGCAGTGCCCCTGTTGCATTAGCCGTAACACCTAAACCTCAGGCTGCTGCAAAGCCGATGATGCAGGCCAGACCCGCTGCAGCCCTGGTAGCCGATAAAGGAATCAGCATGGTTTTAGGCACTGTTGGTAGCAGCAGTAGTGGAAATTGCAGTAGTAGCAGCAGCAATGCTAGCAGCAGTTCAAGCAGTATTAGCAGTACTAGCAGCTTATGTAGCCAGGCTAGCCTGATCAGTATTGGTAGCAGCAGCACTGCTAAGTCAAATAGCAACAGCAACATTAAGGTCAATACACCGGGTACTGATGCCACTTGCATTCAAAGCAACGGTACTATTGTGAAAAGTGAGAGTAAAGGCAATTCTGAGGCTAAAAGCAACATTAACAGCAAGAACAATGTTTCAGATGCCAGTACCACTCCAACCACGACCGCGGCATCTACAACTACAACAGATAGCGCAGTACCAAGTAAATCAGACTCTCCTGTCTCTGTGAACTCGCGCATATTCTCCACCACTAACTTCCTGGACCCCAGCTTTAACAAAACCAAAAAGTCCCAGGAACAGCTGGCAGCCTTAAAGGAGAGCTTCCTTGTTAGCCAGTTTCCTAATCAAGAGGAAGTAGACCGACTTATAAGCCTAACTGGTCTGTCTGTACGTGAAGTACGGAAATGGTTCAGCGACCGCCGCTACCACTTCCGGAATCTGAAGGGTTCAAGGTCAAGTGGCGGAGGTCAGACTGTTACAGCTAGTGGTAGCATTTCCCAACTGGATACTCTTGCTGCTGTAGACCTGTCTGAAAACAGTACACCCCTAGAGAGGCCCAAAACTCCCCAGCAGTCACCTCTCAGCCCCTCACAGGCATCATCCCCACCAACTCCAACACGGCGTCCTCCACGCCCCCCATCACCAGATTTCACGGCGATACGGTACAAAGAGCGGGAGCCCCACCAGGTTCGTGCTTTGGAGGCCAGCTTTGCACAGGACCCAGATCCATCTAGTGAAGAAGTTGACCGGTTAAGAGCAGAAACAAAGATGACTCGCCGTGAGATCCACGGTTGGTTTGCTGAGCGACGGAGGAGGATAGCAGCAGAGAAGAAGAAAGAGGAAGCTGAGAGGGCAGAAAGGGAAGATGATGATGCAGTGGGAGAGACAGAGGAGCATGGAATATACAAGGAAAAAAGCAGCAATGAGGAGGCCCATGAAGCTGAAGATTCCTCCAAGGAAGCGCAACAAGACAAAGAGGACAAACAGAAGGATGAGAGCGGCACCGAGCCGAAAGTTAACCCTATCAAAATCAATCTCAAAATGCTGAAAGTTACTGAATCTAATGGAAAAGGTGAGCCAGAGGACAGTCAACCGAATGAGGCTACTAAGGTGGCACAATCTATCTCTCAGACAACTGTTCCTCAGACCTCCCCATACCGAGGAAAGAAGACGCCCGAACAGCTCCACCTGCTGAAGAAAGTCTTTGCACGCACCCACTGGCCCAGTAGTCCGCAGTACAATGAGCTGATAACTAAAACGGGCCTACTGCGACCAGAGGTGGTACGTTGGTTTGGAGATTGCCGCTATGTCCTAAAGAACGGTCAGCTCAAGTGGCTTGAGAGTTACCAGACCATGGTAGACGAGGAAGACTTCCAGAAAGATAACATTAGCATCCTAAAGGAGCACCTAGACAAGCATGGTAAACTAGATGAGACTAAGTTAGAGGAGATTGTCAAATCAAGTGGGTTAGGTGAGGAATCAATCCGGCGGTGGTTTGCCAATAAGACACCACCTTTATTGGAGGAAAGGAACTCTGAGAGCAAAGGAGGTGTGATGACTGAATCATCATCTGTAACCCCAACTGAAGCTGCTACGGCGTCACAGCATCCAGACCATGAAGATGAAAAGGTGGAGCAGTCAGGAAGCAACCTAATATCTAAGGATCAAACCACAGTAGTTGACATCTCAACAAATACTAAACAAGGTGATTCATTTTCTGCCATCTCAGCCATGAATTATATTGTATCCTATTTAAGGATAGGATTAGCCGTTAGATTGTGTCCAATGTGAGGTTGTTGTGTTTAATACTTGTTTGTTCATTTTCGCAGTCTAACTGAAGAGGAGAGTGGATGCATGAATGAATGTGAAGCGATATCAGCCCATGGGATTACAGCACATGTGGCCTTTAATTGAAGGCTTTTTTTAAACCGATTAAACTTTAACAGGAGCACTGGCAAACACCTCTGTAAAAAGAAAAAAAACCCCTCCCCAAATGAATATTTTCCATTACTAGCTGTAAGACATGGTGTGGATTATCAGGATGCACCCCTTCACCAGCCAGCTGCTTTTTCTATTTGGATGGGATAGAGGGGAAAACAGACCGTAGCTTCGTGAAGTGAGAGACCCAAGTTGAAGTCCACAGAGAAGTTTTTCTTGGATGTGAATTTCCTGTCTTTTTCGTCTGGGGAGGAATTACCATTTGTAGGGAACTTATGGTGGTACTAAGCGCAAACTGCACAGCGCTCATTGAGCCCTTTTGTAATTCTTAAAATATGACTTAATTGCACCTCAGAGAGGTTGAGTTGTATGCTGCAGGTGAGCAGCAATACCACAGCACATTTTTTTCCCCCCTGAAATGTCATTCAAAGTAAAAGAACCCCTAAAGTCATGACTATTTGTGACGAAACTGATTCACCAGTGTGAACGCTTAGGCTTGTATGATTTTTACAAATACTATTTGCAGAATAAATTTAATATTACAAAAAAATGGTCATGGATTTTCAGGCTTGGGGAAAAAAAAAACCCACTCATTGTTGAATAAGTAGTTTATTCTCAGGCTTGATTATGTTTCATATGAAAAGCAAAATTAAAACGTATACGTCCTCCAATATAGCATAGGCACATTACAGGAAAGGCTTGGTTGTAAATAAGAACATTGGTAACAAAACACTGATGCAAGAAAACAGAAAAAGGCATACATGTCCAACAGGGAAATCTTTCGTTGATGTATATATGTATACATACACCAAGGCACATTAAAGATGAGGCAAGAAAATAGCAGAAACTAATTTACAGACTGGAGAAGGGCTACAGAAGTACAAGGAGAGGGATTAATGCTTAAAACTAATTGAGGGAATGTTGGCTAATTAGGAATAAATGTAAGGGAACTTGAACAAATTCCCTCTGAAGGCATCTGGCCTCGTCTTTTCCTCTCAAAGCTCAGGAAGTGATTATGGTCCCTGTGTCTTTCTGTAATATTTCTAGATTGCGTAATGCAAATTGCTATATACACTGATCATTGCAAAAGACTAAAAAATAAAAAAAGTGTTATGACAGAATTTATGCATGCATCCAAAGGCGCAAGCCAGTTGCTTGAATCGCACATCCCTCCGTGTTAAAATGCCCCTCGTTTACAATTTTCAAATTAATTAGCATTTCTGTACACACCCAAACAGTGGAACATATAACAATGTAACACTATAATTTGAGGAGTACATTCTGGAGCATCTTTCAGACTCTGAGCTGTCATGCACAGAACCAAATAAATACTGTGACAATAGTGGCATAACGTAGCAGCCACAAGGCAAAAAAGGGGGAAAAGGCAAACAAGCTCTCCATAGTCATCTTGCTCCATAAAAATGCACCTGGACCCCATGATCAAACAGAGAGGCAGGTAAAGCATCAGAGATGGAAAAGCAATGCGACAGCATCACAATGGCTTCTGTATACGGCTGTTAGACACGAAACGATTGGCAGAACTACATGGCATGTGTATATGTGTGCAGTTCAGTAACATCTCAACCTCTACTGGCTAAACAAGAGAACTGCGTGAAACTTAGAGCTACAATAAATATGGCCTTGTTTTCGCTATACATCAACTGTGAATACTGAGGTTTAGCAGTCTTAGCCTGTTCATCAATCAGTGACAATTCGTATTAGGGCAATACTTTGACAACACAAAACTAGATGACTGCTTGGCACAAGGTATACATCTATAGAAAGACTGACCAAAATGCCCTTACTCCTGTCCACAGAAGAAGAAAAAAAATGTATCATGAGAATTATTCAACGCTCAGGGTGTTCTACTAACCCAAAGAACAGAGACAGACTTATTTGGTCTCGATTTCTTGTATAAACCTACCTTTGGCTTTCTTAAAGGGATAGTTCACGCAAAAATGAAAATGTGATGTTTATCTGCTTACCCCCAGGGCATCCAAGATGTAGGTGACTTTGTTTCTTCAGTAGAACACAAACGAAGATGTTTAACTCAAACCGTTGCAGTCTGTCAGTCATATAATGGAAGTGAATGGGAATCACGACTTTGACAGTCTGAAAAACATACACAAACAAAACCAAATTAAACCCTGCGGCTCGTGACGATACATTGATGTGTAAAGACACGAAACGATCGGTCTGTGCAAGAAACTGAACAGTATTTATATAGTTTTTTACCTCTGATGCACTGCAGTGTCTGAACTGTCCTGAGCACGTCCTCGACAGCAGGCGCGTGACGCGTCGTCTAATTGCTTTATGGCAGATCGACTTATAAGTGCATTACGGCCACCTATCTCTCAAATGGACCATTGACACGCCTAATTGAGAGTGTCAATGGTCCATTTGAGAGATAGGTGGCAGTAATGCACTTATAAGTCTGAGATCTGCCAAAAAGCAAGACGACGACACGTCACGTGCTGGATGTTTTGAACACTCAGGACAGCTCAGACTTCGCAGTGCATCAGAGGTAAAAAAAACTATATAAATACTGTTCAGTTTCTTGCACAGACCGATCGTTTCATGTCTTTACACATCAATGTATCGTCACGAGCCGCAGAGTTTTATTTGTGTATGTTTTTTTTACTCATAAAGCCGTGATTCCCATTCACTTCCATTATATGACTGACAGACTGCAACGGTTTGAGTTAAAAATCATCATATGTGTTCTACTGAAGAAAAAGTCACCTACATCTTGGATGCCCTGGGGGTAAGCAGATAAACATCACATTTTCATTTTTGGGTGAACTATCCCTTTAAAACAGACATCATGGTTAACACGCTACTAAAGGTACTAAATCATACATAAAATGTCCTACCTATTTGACCTGATAAGACTACACCATAAAAAGCCTTCAGGAACAAGACTTTTCAATTGCTAAAGTGTGGAGGAACAGTAAACGATAAATCACAGAAATGGTTTTAGAGGGATAAAACGGTCTGAAATGAGATGGTCCAAGTTCTGTTCTGTAAACTAAATACGCAACGTTTCCACAAAGCTCTCGCAGCTCCAAAACCCCACCTGAGCCGTTTGTGAATTCAAGTCCACCCGTGCAGACTGGCAAAACATAAAACAAGGAGAGTGATATTGCTCTCTGGTCACTTGATAACTTCATAATTTCGAGCAGATCAGCTGCAGCGTTTTTCTAACCACACACACACACACACACACATATAAGCCAGAGAGATACAGTAAAGAAAAAGTATTATTACTCCATAAATGTTAACCTGGAATCGGTTTCAAAGTGATGAATGATACAACCCCCACTCAATTTTGAAACATTGGCCTTTGTCGTCCACCCAAACGCTGTCCCCGAGTCAGAACACCCCCGTCCCGTCCGCAGGTTCAGATTGTAGCTAAGCAGATAATTGTTAGTTTCTGTCCGTGAGCCAAAGCTCCGTCACGCTCCGCAAGCCCCTCTGCCACTCGCGTGGCCCTGAGCGGGAGAGAGTCGCAGAGAGAGGGAGATCTGTAACATACTCGTATAGAAAAAAATTACATTATGAACGTTTAAAACATGTTTAAATAATAAAAAGAATCTGAAATGAAATAAAGATCTGGAGTGAGAGGCTCTTTGAGAGCAGATCAGCTGCAACGTTTTTCTAACCACACACACACACACACACACATATAAGCCAGAGAGATACAGTAAAGAAAAAGTATTATTACTCCATAAATGTTAACCTGGAATCGGTTTCAAAGTGATGAATGATACAACCCCCACTCAAGGTAAAATAATCCATGTGGCATCAGGGGTTCAACCGTCATTTTATGAAGCTACGAGAATACTTTTTGAGCACAAAAGTAAAAAAAATAAAATAAAAAAGACTTTATTGAACAATCCGTCTCCTCCGCATCACCCTAGCGTGTCACGCGGATACGTTGTTTTCGTTCAAATCAAAGCGTAAACGATGTAAACAACATATCCGCGTTGACACAGCTGACACAGAACAGCATACACAATTTACGTTCAGAATTTTTTTTTTTTTTTTTTGTGCTTAAAGTAATCTTGTAACTTTGTAAAATTACGGTTGAACCCCTGATGCCACATGGACTATTTTACTGATCTCCTTGCTACGTTTCTAGACGTTGATGGTGGTAGTTACCTTGCTGTCTATGGGAGGGTCAGAGAGCTCTCAGATTCCATCAAAAATATCTTAACTTGTGTTCCGAAGATGAACGAAGGTCTTACGGGTTTGGAACGACATGAGGGTGAGTAATTAATGACAGAATTTCCATTTTTGGGTGAACTATCCCTTTAATTTCAGTTAATCGCTTTGATGCCGTGTCTGGTGGAAGCCGTTTAGCCCTTAACTAAGTTAGGACATTTTGATACTTACAGCAGTTCTTGTTAAAACTTCTGAGAATAATTTGCTGACGCAGGTACAAAAATACTTTTTTTGTGCAGACTCAAAAGTTAAATGTCGTAAAAATGTAAATTGAACATCTTTCAACCAAGCGTACCTCCTGCTCTCGTTGTCCAGCAGCGTCTCCTGGGACACTCTGAAGTCCTCCAGTGGTGACTGGTAGCGGGCCTCGAACGAGCCCTCCCGCCCATGGTATCCCAGCGCCTGGCCCGGAGACGAGGGCAGGGGGGATGTGGAGGAGACGGAGCTGGTGTCCCCCGTACGCTCCCGGCCCACCTGCATGGCTATGGCCCCCGCCGCCGACAAGGGACTCAACATCTCGCCGTTCTCATGCTGCAGAAGAGAACCAGGTTGCCATCACGATACAGCACACTCATTTAAGTCGATTAATCAAGGTACATGATGCGCACCCTTCCTCTGACGATGTCCATGTGCACCAGCAGGGACGCCAACTCCAGATCCTCACTGTAGCTGTTCTTGAGCGGGACAGACCGGTAGCCTACAGACAGACATCAGTGACATTGTTTTTTACATTCCTTAAAGGATGAACTCACGGGTTCTCCTGGAGGGCCGACGTTCCTCCTGAGTTCAGCTCCAACTCATCGTGGAGGTTTCTAGTAAACCTTGATTAGTTACCAATCAGAAACGTCCAGGCAGGTGTGTTGGGACGAGTTGGAGCTGAACTCTGCAGGACCGAGTTTGGACGGCCCTGATTTAGACCAAGTAAACGTTCCCTTTGAAAGCACAAAGGCGCTAATTTTTTTGGCGAGCCGTACCGGTTTTGAGGCAGTTGATGGGGAACGTTGCCTGGGCGAGAAAGTTCTGGTCGTTGAACATGTCGATTTCATAGACCACGAAGCGCAGGAAGGCAAAGGAAGGATTGCACACGGTGAATCGGAAGGGTTTCCTGGGCCAGGTGGGGTTCAGACCGTTGTCCGCTGAGAGTAAAACAGGTAAATCTTTTAGTGATCCCGCTTACCCCATCAACATTTGTTCTTAGGTGGTGGTGTTGTTGTAGGAGATGTTTGCATCTACACCTCACCTTCAGAGTCCGTCCTCTGCTTGGCATTGTCATATTCTGCTCCACAAACTTCGATCTCGATGAGAGGGCAAACGATACCTCGACCGTGTTTGGGCAGATGGCGTGCTCCCAAAACCTTAAAACACACCAACGTTCAGTTCAGTCCTTCATTTGCAACTACTTAGTCACTCTCACACGATCAGTATTGGCTGATCACCTGGCGAACAAAAGCGCAGTCTGGAGAACAAATGCTGTATGTGTCTTTTAAAACGCCGGGAACGGCATTCCCGCTTTTTATTATGGACGGATGCGCTTTGTTGGCCTTTTTTTGGACTATTGAAAAATAACACCCATTCACTGCCATTATAAAGCTTGGAAGAGCCAGGATGTTTTTTAATATAACTCCTATTGTATTCGTCTGAAAGAAGAAAGGTGCATACACCTAGGATGGCTTGAGCGTGAGTAAATCATGGGCTAATTTTCATTTTTGGATGAACTATCCCTTTAATTCAAAGGGAAAACATTAATTATTTTCTTTTCTTCGTTTACACCCTATTGACAGATATTTCTTTTTTAAAAACACACTCACTTCATTTTCTTTAATTTCTCAGACAACAAGACTTCACATGTTCAAACTGCATCTCAAGTAAATGTATCTTGATTTAAGGATGTTTGTATTGGAAAACAAGACGAAATTACAGAGGAAGATATTCATATTCTGCAGTGCATTAGGGCTGTCAAAAAAAATTAGAATTTCCAATATTCGTCGAATTTAAAATAAAAATCCACACTCGAATGCAAAAACGTTGCATTCGAATTTCAGGTGTGTGTTAAGCAGGCAGCCTTATCAGCGGCGCACAAGATGCGATGACGATGTAAGTGTCGTTGCATTATAATGTTTTTGTTAGTCTGTGCAGTTAAAGCCACTAGATGCAGCGCTGCTGCGTTGTTCATTTAAAATATTGCGGAAAAAGAGAACTTCAATGCGGAGAAGATCTTGTTTACATCAAAACTGAAACCAAGCCATTCACACAGAACACATATTTCGCACATTTTCTAGAGGGACATCTATCACCATTGCACTCGCATCTCGCACAAAGGAGCCACATGTTTAAAAAGCCATGTAAAATTAATGCAAGTTTAACTTTGAAAAAAATCCCACTGCATCTCATGTTTTTAAATGAAAAATGTACTCTGTGTGATTGGCTTTCCGCCCTTTGTTTTAAACGATGCATACATGCATGATGCGGTTTTGTTTATAGTTGTTTAAGCAACTTAATTATAATTGGTTTAGAAACATTATTTTAAACATTATGCACTTTTTTTCCACAGATAGTCATGTTATCTTATGCTTTGAATAAACGTGCATTAGTAATGTTTTGCTCGATGCGCCCTCTTGTGGCCTCAGGAGAGAAGCCTAAAGCTATTTTTCACCATAACTGAAATTATGCATTTTAGAATTCAAATTTTGATAATATTTAAGTACAAAATTCAAATTTAGTTTTTCAGCCATTCCGACAGCCCTACAGTGCATACAACATTCAGTGCCATGATCTCATGAATTTAAGGCTTTCTGCTCTGACTTTTTAGGCCTTAATTAGTGGAAGGGCAAATTTGGACCCGGAGAGACCCCGTCTAACGGTTGGGTTATAGCCTATTGCAGTGCAGCATGCATGTGTACCTCTATGCAGACTGTGATGGGCTCCACTCCTCTCAGAGAGTGCCGGTCAAACGGGTCGAAGGTGTCGTCTCTCATGATCGACGGCTGCAGCACGTAACCGCTCCTGCCGTTCAGCATGAAGAGCGCCTGATTCATCTGCATGGGCTTATCTGCAGAGAAATGGTCACACTGTTCAATGCCAGGATGCACACAGAGGAGGAGGAGGAGAGAGAGCTCTGTGCTCACCGGCGGTCTGGAAGTTAAGGGCCACCAGCTGACTGCCACACAGCCACATGGGTAACGGGTCGTAGTTGGACGAGTCCAGGCGCTGACCGCGAGGGTAGATCCGTGAGAGCTGCAGCCGGTTGTACTGCAGGAACTTCTTTCCTTTGATACGGTTCACATACTTCTCCGCTTTGGTCTCAGGAAATGAGGACATGTCCCGGAAACAGGCCCGCTCCGTCCCGATTTCTGTAAGAGACAGAAGATATCTTAGGGTTTATGTTGAGGAGCTAAGGACCCAAATGCGTACTGTTGGCACGCGTGTAGGAACAGGTTTGGGCAACAGACCACCATGGGAAAAGGGTTTTCAGTTTTTTTCTGGTTGGGACAAACTCGCTGTGCTATGCCAATACACTAAACTCAACCCTGAGTTGAGCATGTCACCTATCAGCATGTTTATAACAATAGAGAAATAAAACCGTTGTAGTCCTGCACTCATTCTATAATGATAGCTGGTGTGATTTTATACAACGTGGTCAAGTTTCAAGTAAAATACATCCGCAGTAATTTATAGATATGGTGACTATCTGATTTGTATGCACTGTTTATTTGGCTATTAAGTTTCCCAGAGAGTGGAAAACTAACTAACTAGACCAATTGTGTGAACCTAATTGTGAGTGTATAAAAGTGTTAAGAGAGATGTTTAAAACACACCAACGTTCAGTTCAGTCCTTCATTTGCAACTACTTAGTCACTCTCACACGATCAGTATTGGCTGATCACCTGGCGAACAAAAGCGCAGTCTGGAGAACAAATGCTGTATGTGTCTTTTAAAACGCCGGGAACGGCATTCCCGCTTTTTATTATGGACGGATGCGCTTTGTTGGCCTTTTTTTGGACTATTGAAAAATAACACCCATTCACTGCCATTATAAAGCTTGGAAGAGCCAGGATGTTTTTTAATATAACTCCTATTGTATTCGTCTGAAAGAAGAAAGGTGCATACACCTAGGATGGCTTGAGCGTGAGTAAATCATGGGCTAATTTTCATTTTTGGATGAACTATCCCTTTAATTCAAAGGGAAAACATTAATTATTTTATTTTCTTCGTTTACACCCTATTGACAGATATTTCTTTTTTAAAAACACACTCACTTCATTTTCTTTAATTTCTCAGACAACAAGACTTCACATGTTCAAACTGCATCTCAAGTAAATGTATCTTGATTTAAGGATGTTTGTATTGGAAAACAAGACGAAATTACAGAGGAAGATATTCATATTCTGCAGTGCATTAGGGCTGTCAAAAAAAATTAGAATTTCCAATATTCGTCGAATTTAAAATAAAAATCCACACTCGAATGCAAAAACGTTGCATTCGAATTTCAGGTGTGTGTTAAGCAGGCAGCCTTATCAGCGGCGCACAAGATGCGATGACGATGTAAGTGTCGTTGCATTATAATGTTTTTGTTAGTCTGTGCAGTTAAAGCCACTAGATGCAGCGCTGCTGCGTTGTTCATTTAAAATATTGCGGAAAAAGAGAACTTCAATGCGGAGAAGATCTTGTTTACATCAAAACTGAAACCAAGCCATTCACACAGAACACATATTTCGCACATTTTCTAGAGGGACATCTATCACCATTGCACTCGCATCTCGCACAAAGGAGCCACATGTTTAAAAAGCCATGTAAAATTAATGCAAGTTTAACTTTGAAAAAAATCCCACTGCATCTCATGTTTTTAAATGAAAAATGTACTCTGTGTGATTGGCTTTCCGCCCTTTGTTTTAAACGATGCATACATGCATGATGCGGTTTTGTTTATAGTTGTTTAAGCAACTTAATTATAATTGGTTTAGAAACATTATTTTAAACATTATGCACTTTTTTTCCACAGATAGTCATGTTATCTTATGCTTTGAATAAACGTGCATTAGTAATGTTTTGCTCGATGCGCCCTCTTGTGGCCTCAGGAGAGAAGCCTAAAGCTATTTTTCACCATAACTGAAATTATGCATTTTAGAATTCAAATTTTGATAATATTTAAGTACAAAATTCAAATTTAGTTTTTCAGCCATTCCGACAGCCCTACAGTGCATACAACATTCAGTGCCATGATCTCATGAATTTAAGGCTTTCTGCTCTGACTTTTTAGGCCTTAATTAGTGGAAGGGCAAATTTGGACCCGGAGAGACCCCGTCTAACGGTTGGGTTATAGCCTATTGCAGTGCAGCATGCATGTGTACCTCTATGCAGACTGTGATGGGCTCCACTCCTCTCAGAGAGTGCCGGTCAAACGGGTCGAAGGTGTCGTCTCTCATGATCGACGGCTGCAGCACGTAACCGCTCCTGCCGTTCAGCATGAAGAGCGCCTGATTCATCTGCATGGGCTTATCTGCAGAGAAATGGTCACACTGTTCAATGCCAGGATGCACACAGAGGAGGAGGAGGAGAGAGAGCTCTGTGCTCACCGGCGGTCTGGAAGTTAAGGGCCACCAGCTGACTGCCACACAGCCACATGGGTAACGGGTCGTAGTTGGACGAGTCCAGGCGCTGACCGCGAGGGTAGATCCGTGAGAGCTGCAGCCGGTTGTACTGCAGGAACTTCTTTCCTTTGATACGGTTCACATACTTCTCCGCTTTGGTCTCAGGAAATGAGGACATGTCCCGGAAACAGGCCCGCTCCGTCCCGATTTCTGTAAGAGACAGAAGATATCTTAGGGTTTATGTTGAGGAGCTAAGGACCCAAATGCGTACTGTTGGCACGCGTGTAGGAACAGGTTTGGGCAACAGACCACCATGGGAAAAGGGTTTTC